CTGATCGATACTGAGTCGCCAGAAAGCAATAGTTCTTTTTTTTATTTTGACAGAAGTAGACATTGTATGTACGGATAACGGCACATCAGACTACACATTTTGATGTGGCGTGTACACACGCCAGCTCATCAAGCTACACATTGACGTATCTTGTTCCGTTGCACTGGAGGCGATTTCCGAACAAAAATGTGTAGTCTGATGTGCCGTTGTCCATACGTATTCGATAATAAAAGGGGATTTGCACAGTCACTCTATCCATCAGGAGCGTACAGGAATGCGCGCGGGTACACCGTCAACGACGTGGAAAGTTTTCCATTTTGTAAAAACAAATATTTTTCCAGATATTTTTCCACATTTGACGTTGACACCTGTCAAAAGTTGAAGTTGCTGAACGAAAACGATGAAGCCAACAAAAGGTGGTGTAGTGGTTAGAGGTTTTTTTGCTGTTGTGAAATCATTTTAAATCTCGTTCTTCTAAGTAGCTTTTAGCTACAAAATTTATTATATAATTCACGCTAAATAAAATTGCAAAAGACATTTCTTAACGTAGAACATAATGTGATCCTTCGAAGATATATTTTTTTAATTTTTGGCAATTTTTCCGGAAAAATTTCCTCTATTTCAAAATTTTCGGCAAACTACCCAACGGTGCGCGATTACCTGTTTGAATTTTTTTAAGCTAACGTTCGCGTGCGATTGATTGGTCGTATTCGTTATTGTTACAACGGAAAGAGCGTCCGTATAAAAGCTAATAGAGCAGGATAGACCGTGTGAAACTGGCGCGTGTTGGAGTGAGCGATTGCGCGCGCGACTGATGAGTGCAATCGAGTGGTCTTTCCCTTTTCCGTCCAATTGCGATTATTGCATCACGCGCGATAGAGTAGCTATGTAAAGCCCGCTATTCCCGCAGATTTCTAGCTACCTATATAAGTGGCTAGAACAGATAATATACTCGATGCACTAATAGTACCACTTGTTTTTCAACCTTTTATTAAACCGATTAACCCTAAGTATTATGAAGCAGTCAAAAGAACCAAGTAGGTATTATTGCTCGATGTAACACCGCTGTCCTCTACTCCACTTTGGCAGGTTAGGACTGTTAGTGACAAATCGATGTGGGTAATATCGGCTTGGCAGCCGTATATAACAATTGCATAGGTACTCACTGTGATCTCAACCTGTTTGCCAACTATGCCAAAGCTTCTTGTAGGGGCTTTAATCGACCTATGAACTAAACTGTGCTACCTTAAGTACACCTACTTAAGGTAGCTGGGAAATAAAAAGAAAAGTACAAGAATTTTAATTTCTAAGTATATTGAATGTCACGATGTTTGCCTATCATGATATACAATTTTTTTTTTTTTTGAAAATTACTCCACTGGTTTGTTATAATTATTACAACAAGGATCGACACACTAAGAAAATTAATTCCTCATTCAATCAATATGAAAAAATACAGCCGAATCGAATTAATTTTTCTTTAGTGTTTCGAAACTTGTTATTATAAATAATAGTATAAGAATTTTGGTTACATTTAATTACCCGTGGTCTACCGAGGTAAACCAGTCAGGTGGTCCAAGGGCAAGAAGCAATTTTAATAAATTAACCAAAAATTGCATGTAATTTTTGTCACTAAAAAACAAAAAAAGAACTTTTTTTTAAAATGTTATGTTGTCAGTGATACTTTTATTTTACGGGTAGATTTAGTGAAACAGTTCGTCCAGGAAAGCACTTACTTATTACTTATTTCTGCCGCCAAGCAGTAGTCTCTGCATTACTGCGTTCCGGTTTTGAGTTGTAAGGCTCCTGGTGAAATTGTAGGCACTTGGGACTTGTCAACTTATTATGTCTCAAGAATTTAAAGCTCCAAGCAGCACTACAACTGATATGGAAAGGTGTCTCGTTTACCGTGCCACCAAGCCACCACGTCTTGTTCGTCCCGTCACATGGTATGTATTAAAATTCGCTCTGGACCTTTTGGAGGGAAAAGTGTCGTTTTTATTTTGACTTTCAATTATTTTGTGAAATCTGGTTTAAAGTGGAATAGGATAGTGCTATTGTGCCTTAATCGAAGATTAAAACGCGAAATTATACGAATCTCGAACTAAAATACCCGTTTTAAGGAATCCCGAGGCAATCCAAGCACGCCGCCTCAAATTGCCTATCCTCTTTATGGCGGCCATATTTACAGAAACATATTTAAACTTCATATTTAGGCTGATGGCTTTGCCAAAGCCTTAATAAATTTAAAAAAAATGTATTAAAAAAAAAGTTTAGCGCGCATTTTAAGAATTACAAAAAACGTCCAGAATACGTGATTCGTACCTAAAGGTAACGTATTTCATAATGATAATGTCAAATCACAGAGTCATTACAAAGTCGTCAAAAACTATTGCAGTAAGGTTGGAATAGGTTGCATTATCCACCGTATTCGTTACACATAGCTCCTTCAAATTTTTATTTGTCTTTACAAAATTCTTTGATTGAACAAGATTTTAATAGGTAACCAATGTATATAACATCAAATGATACTTGAGTTATATTTTATAAATGCAGGATTTTTTACGAAAGGGAATTTCTAGAATCATCCGAAAGATGCCAAATGATTTGTATTAAGATCAACATGGCCAATACATAATTGACCAAAGTTGTAAACTTATGTTTTGGAATATTTTTTATTTATTCCTTAAAACTGCACGGACCCAATATTATTTTTCATTTAAGTTTTTTTTGTTTTTGTTTTTCGTCTCGACTTTAATTTCTATTTTCCATTCATTTGTGATTGTTCAGTACTTAGCAATACTTCTTGCTAACGGTGAATAAAAACGTAATGGGTAATAAAACCTGCACGTCAAAGAAGGTTCACAAAAGGTGCGAGGTTGCATTGGGCCATAATGGCAGACTGTAACCTAAATCCTCTCCTTAGAGCATAGGTTCTCAAACCTTTTAGCTCACCGCCCACTTAGACAAGGTAAAAAAATTTCAATGCACACCGCCACAAAAAATAAATGAAAACATTTATTTTTTTGTATTAACACAAAAATATCAAAAGGAAAAATATACATACATGTAGTGTAGTTTATATGAATAATTCAGGTTTTTTTTTTCAAACGCGGTAGTACCACCTGGGCAGCATCAACGCCCTCCAATTGCTTCCGAGGCTCAGCGCCCACTGGTATAGACCACTTTGGGAAACCATGCCTTAGAAGCACCAGCTTCCAGCAGTGGAACGTAAAACAGGTTGGTAGGTTTTAAGCTATGTAAATACCACCCTTAAAATTACAAAAAAGAAAATCAAATTTGGCAGTCATTTTGTTTTATTAAACAATTTCATATTATATTAATACATTATACGTTCATTCTACCTACACATTCTCCGAAATTTATATGATAAAAGCATTGAGAAGCAACCCACTCCTGTGATAGCCAGACTCAACTGCAGAAATCTAACAATACCTATTCTATTGTATCTTAGTAACACACAATTGTTACACCTAACAAAACATTATACAGTATTCCAGTGGAATTCCCGCTAATTTTCCTTTTCTATCTACAATGGAAGCCTATAATCCAATTTGTTGAGGAATTATTTTCGACCCCGTAGTCTAATTTGAACGCAAACCTGAGATTTAGAGTGAATGACAAATCCTATATGACAACCATGAATGGATTTCAGACATTGAGACAATTAATTAACAAAGTAGATTTTGTCAATTTCGTTTTGAAAGTTGATTTTGGACTTAGGCCTTCCGGAATAAGTATTTGCTGATGACAAATTTTTGTCATGAAACCACAAACTGATTTTGCACTTTGAAGGTCCATGGGAATAAGAGCTGAAAAATCATTATTACTATGGAAACTGAACACTTCTGTCGGTTCTCAGCCAACAATTTTTTTCTTCCGAGTGTATGACGACTCCTTAAAAGTCTCCCTACCTTACGGCTCTGGGAATTACGGCTTTTGACTGGCCAATTTAGTACCTATACCACACGGTTATACAAAACGATCCGGACCGAGAATTGTCAAACTGAATGTTAGGCTCAAAAACCCTAGGCGCCTACGCTTCCGGCTTTGACTTCCTTAATTACAATTTGAAATAAACCTAAGAAGACTGGATATAAGGATTACAATGTAATGTGTTCGTACTTTCGAATTTGTTAAGGTATACATATATTAAGGAGACCTCTATGTTCAACATCAATGTGAACGTTACCTAAAGTGATAAAAATTTTAAATAGCTACACCTAATGATCTGATTGGTCAAACTAACTAATAATAACTACAAATCCAAAGTGCTAATTCTGAATTCCATTTATATATTAATTTATTATGTGTAATATGCTCAGAATCAGGTTCATATAACGAATTTTTATTCTTCTCCTGATAAATTTATTCATTTATTAAAATCAGGCAACTATGACCAATATAATACATAGCTTAAAGATTAACATACATGTAATATAATAATAAAAACTAAACAATGTTTAACTCTGTCTTCATCTCCATTTTCTTACCTAATGGTAAGAAAATATCAATTGATTGTGAACAATGGTCTTAATGGGACCACGATTTGAACCAAGCTCAAGGTAAGTGAGAAAAGAGACTGTTAATTATGTCATGAAGCAGATGAGGCACTTCTGCATCTCCTAGGTCACTGTTGACCTAGCATACAAAAACTTCCTCCTAATTAAGAGTTATCCAAAACAGGAACAATAAGGCCCAGCCAAAGGAGGCAATAACTAAGAAGTCCTATAGTTAGTTCTTTAAATCGATGGGTATTAGCATTGACTTACAAATAAATGGACGACGGGTCTAATACAAAAACCACGAAAAAAATGTCCCAAGTCAACCTATTCGAAATTTAAATTGTTATGTCATTGCAGTATCACGCTGTCCGTAGAACAAATGAAGACTAAAGCGGAGTGTCGCGCTCTGTATACGATTTTAGCGCCTTACAAGTGCGGACACTTTTTAGCGCGGACCCGACGTCCATATAATTGTAAGTCAATGGGTATTAGATACAAATTATGTAGGGTTGCCCAGGCCACCCTTGACAACCATCTTAACATTAATCATATTACAACACTCTTAACTCACTGTGAACACTGTTTTACACATGGATCCCAATAATAACATGTTACATAAACATTAATCAAAGATTACAATTTTAATGTTATACATGGTACAGTGTAAGTTTAGTTATTGCAATCTGAGCTTTATGTTTTAAGTCTTATTGTAAATGGTAAAGAGTTAAATATAAATTTTATAAAATAAATTTAGAGGCATACGCTTCTCCCTTATGGGGGACTGCCAACATGGGTAGAATAAAAATATAAATTAGTAAAAAACTAAATTAAATTCTTTAGTTTAACAGAGTGAACTATTTATCTGAAATTGAAAGGCTACTACGCCAAGAGCTATGGTTTTTCTGGAATAATAGTACAGTTTTGCATTTTTATTACATAGAATGAACAACAAAAAATCCTTCAATCTGACAGCTCTTGAACCAGCATCTGTTGCAACACTGGGGCCACAACTCTTACCAACTGAGCTACAGATAGTGTCAAAAAATCATGATATTCAATGGAATAATTATTGCAAAGGTTTGCATTTTTTTGGCAAAAGAACTGGTGCGATATTCTTCAAGTGAATGTTGTTTGAACAAACCCGGAAAATTAAGTTTCTCAAAAATATATAGGTAATAAAATGACATTTCCATAGTGCTTGGAAAATCCAATTCAAGAAAAAAGTAACAATATATTGGAAGTAAATTTTTTTGGATTCAAATGTGTACATTTATTTTTTCTAACCAACGTTCAGGACGCTTACAGATCCCATGGTCATGACTGACTGAGATCATGACATCATCAACCAGTTGTTGGTTTTTTGTGATAAAACAGTACCGGGATGAACAAGTTGTGAAGCTGATATGTCACTTGACACGTGCTCATAGCTGGTGCAGTGCCACTCATGGCTTTAAATTGTAAAGATCTGAGGGTCAATGGCACTGCAACATAATGTTATGTCCTATATTACTGCAAATCAACCACGCAAGAGTTCTATTTTCAACGTGTACACATCACTTCAAATTCAACCTGAGACCTTAATAAGTACCATTATAACTAACTCTAGTGAACAATAAGATTGTAATTTCTAATCAATTCTAATTTTAAAATTAAATCCGGCAACCAAATGAATCCGCATTGGAATACCGCAAATGATCACGCATAAGCAGATAGAAAAACTCAAATAATAAAACGGCTATTAGCCTCCAAAACCATTTGTGAAGTACCTTCACAACAGGGGCATACCTTCAGCTAAAGTTGAAATTAAATGGTATATTAGGCCAGTACATCGGCTGGCATATATCGCTCTCATTTATAAAATTTGACTGTACATAATTTTCTATGGCTGCTATCTTCATCCAGTTGTCACCATATAGCTCTTTCAGCTCTTCAGTCTTGTCTTTGGGCTTGGAAGGGCCAGCTTCTATTTCTTCTACAATGTTTTCCTTAGCTTCCTTAGCCTTATAGCGTTCTCTTTCTTGTCTAGCATCTTCTCTATATTTAGCGTTTTCTCGCAAAAAATTCACAAATTCCTCACTCACTTCTAGGTCATCATTATCTTCAGTTTTGTAGACTTCTTGTTCATCAGGATATGTTTGTTCATCAGCGTATGCATCTTCATAAGTTTCCTCAACGTTATGTTCATCCTCGTCTTCGCTCTCACTTGCCCTCTTACCTGCACTATGTTTAAATTGCATAGAATTTTCACGTATCACGTTGTGTAATACCTCGTTCTCGTACTCAAGGGACTTCGCTTTAGCCTTCCAATAAGCCAATTCAGTCTTCAATTGCCATGTCGCTGCGTGAGTAAATGATTCAGCCCAAGAAGTCATGGTCACAGCAAACTTGTACTTCTTCTTCGTCAACTCCTTTTTTATGTACTTGAACTTGTTATTCTGCTTTTTTCGAGAATTTTTATTGCTTTTCACACAATTCTGATATTTTCTTTCATCTGACGGGCAAATCATCTCAAACGGAAACTGCAAAATTCGCTATTCTACCCTTTATTTTTTCGCAAGATATATATATTTTTTTATTTATTGAGCATTGGGATTTTGCACGATACTGTAATATAGGAGGATCTCGTCAGAAGAAAATTTTACTATGCGCTGCAAAAAACAAAGCAAGAAGATAGGTATTATTTAATAGTTTTGTCTCTGTCATAATTTTAATACAACAATACGATCTAAACAAACCGCATTTTCGTGCATTTATGGTTTTATCCGTCTGACCGTGTCAGATTGAATGTTATTACCTTAGAGGATGGAAAAAAAATATTATAGTACTGTTTGCATCTGGAAACACTTTCAATCTAAAAAAAAAAATTGTCAAACGAAACCCCAGCTGCACAAATTTTGTTTTCCTGAATTTCAGATTTCTTCAGTAATTTTCGGGAAATATATATGTGAAAATGAATTACAAAGATTGTTGTCGTACATGCCTTGGGAAAACTAAAGAAATGCGCCATATTAACTCGTCTATCACCATCTCTGGGCACGATGTTCGATTAACAGATATTTTGTATAATTTCTACAATTATCAGGTAATTCCCGCATATTATATTACTCGAAACGCTATAAAGCTATACACATGCAGTTTGCTGCAAAAAAGCTTATAAAATACTAGCTATTTGACTCTTAGTTTGTGAAAAGTTTTTAACTAAATTATCCACTTTCCAGTTGCCGGAAGAGCAGCTATACCCTGAAAATATCTGCATAAATTGTGTTCACCATCTCACACTAACTCATTCCTTCAAGCTCCTCATAGAATCCAGTGCGAGAACATTGACTGAACAATTAAATGTCTTCGACAGTGCAAGCGACAATAACGACTGTGACTTCGATCTAGACTACAAACCAGAAACAAGAAACAAAATAGACACTTACAAACCAAAATCCTTACCTAAAAACTACAAAATCAGACCAATATCAACAGCCAATAAAAATGTTCCTAGAAGACATCTCATATTTAAGAGAGGTCCCGATAAGAAACTACTTTTCTGTGTTGAATGCAAAGCAGAATATCACACTCAAATGGCTCTAAAAGAACACTGTCATAATAATCACCCAGCAAAGTCGCTAACTGGTAGAGAATGTGAAAATTGTAACGAAAGGTTTGAAGATTTTAAAGATCTGATCATACATCGGAAACTTCACATGAGACCATACTTATGCCTTACTTGTTGGGGTGGTTATTACAATGAGAATGATTATAACAGTCATTCGTGTCAGGCGAACCAACCGCGACGAAGTAAAGAGAGTGAAAAAACATTACGCCAATGTGACCAGTGTGGAAAGTCTTATCCTCAAGGCTATATTAAAGTTCATATGATGACGCATGGTACAGATAAAAGATATAGCTGTAAGTACTGCCCAAAGAAATTTAAAGTAGCAAATGGACTAAATTCACACGTATTGTGGAATCATAAAAGAACTAGAAACCATAAATGTGAAGTTTGCAATGCTACGTTTATATCTGCTAGCGCTAAAAGCACTCATATACGAAAAAATCACTTGAAAGAAAAGAAATACGGGTGCGAAAGCTGTGTAAAACGATTTTTTTCTAAATCAGAGCTTCAACGTCACATGTTAACTCATACGGGTGTGAAGAATTTTCACTGTCACCTATGTGATAAATCATATCAGACAAGATACGGATTGAATGTGCATTTGAAGTCACATTCTCACAATGTGTCCATCAATGTATTGAATTTATAATGTAACATTCACAGAGATGTAGAAATATTAATTGCATTTAAAATCATAGAAACAGCTTTATTATTATTAAGGGCCGGTGTAGCCCCCTCATCACTGGCCAATCACCACTGCTTACACCCAAGCCAAGACTGACAATATTAATTTAACTAAAAGATTTTGCGAATCTAGAAACAATATTCCACAATAAGATATTTTACAAGCATAGAAAGTTAAATGCATTGTTGCAATAAAAGATACATATAAATCAGAATTTAAAGTACGTGCTTATAAAATAAAATAGTTAAATGGTATTCTGGAAACAGAAGATAGAAATGGCTATAGCAATATCATATGTCGAAACGGCCAAGTTTACAGGGGAGTATTTTAAAGTTCTGAATTCACTCGTTACTCACATAGAGTGATCATCTAATAGATCATCTAACCGATATCTAGAATTTTATAATATTCTATGTGATTAACGAGCTTTGCCGAATAAAACTGAGAAACGCTAAAGTCACGTATTATGCTTATTTCAGTGAATTCAGATGTTTAAAACGCTCCCCTGTAAACTTGGCAACTTCGACATACGATACTTTACGTAGGAGGGGTCGATATGTGATATCACAGCCAATTGCAAAGAAAGTCACTCAAAAAGAACACAACAAAACATAAATATCTTTGGTGTCGTTCAAATTTGGAAAAACATGGTTGAAGAAAGACTTGGTTGATACAATAGCATGAGTTAAATACTCGACTACAAGCATTGGAAATGTGATGCCAACTAGCCTTAAATTACCAAGTATACCCAGACCACAAAACTATTAAAAAAGTTCATTTCCTAAATCAGTTCTACTTGGAACCTCCTCATCCAGTGCCCGCCGTAAAACCGTTGGGTGTCCAGGTTGTCAGATTTGTTTATGTATATAATAAATCCATTCTAGAATCGGAGCTTAGTTATCTAGATTAAAAGTCAGCCTGATATTCAGAGGTCTCAACCAGTCAGGCAAACTTTCAAGTTAAATTTGTAGGGGATGATTTTATTGATGGTCTATATCGTGCTTCTCCGAACTAACTGTCGTATTAGACATTCTTGTCGTAATTGATATATACGATCTTCTTAGCTTAATATTCTA